TTCTTCAATAGAAACAATCTCTTTTTTCCATTTAGTCTCAACTATCAATTAAAAGGGAGACAAAGCACGTTTTCTGTAATCATCATCTTCAATACATCAGCTTTACTGATCACCAAGTATGGTAGTCTTAGACATAAGCACAGTTGGTCAAGTCACTTTTATTGGGATATTTTTATTTATCTTTTTCTGGAAGACTGTAAGTAATTATGTCTATAAATATGGTTTGCAATTTATTTGCCTTTTAAAGAAACCAAAAGTATTGTCCATAGAGAATGCTTTTTTTTCCCCCCCTCACAAAACTAAAACCAAAACCTACCTCTCCTGCTCTACACAACTTGGAAAAAAAATATTGGCATGCATATCCATTAAAAATAAAAGCATTACCTGATTATGCGAGCAAGGTTAATTAATACGTCATCTAGATGAAAAAGATTCAAGTATTTTTCTGTCAAGTGATCACAAGCCCCTGGTTTATTATTTTGCATGGCGTTATAGACCTGTCCAGATTCATGACAGCAGAAGCTTGAAGCAGGAGCAGTGTCACATAAACAACATCCATGAAATCAAAATAATCCCCCCATACTTTGCACCAGTAGGATGGGATACTACCACATTGTACTCTCCCCAGCTTAAGTGGCCTTTCCAAAATGGTTTGGAAAAATCCTTAGAAAAATATTTTTCCATTCCACCTTTATGAATATCTTACAGGTCCCCTGGGTACAAAAGTGAGACCTGAAATATTTCCAATATATAATACAGTGCAAAAGAATACATGAAAGATAACAAAACCATGTGAAAAATTCATACTTAGAAAAGGAATACCTCAGTGACCCCTAAATGGGAAGGAACAGAACTTTCCAGCTATTCTGAAGAGATTATCAGGAATAAGAAACACATAGTTTGATGCAATTAAGGTTTGTTTTATATCCTGGAGTTCCTGAGTCTAGAGGTTTGGGAGGGTACTATTTCCTGTTTTGTCTTTTTAACAATTGTCTGAATTTTAGTGTTATCCTGGATTTTCTTAATTTTTATATTTCTTCCTGGCTTGAACTTCTTTAATTATATTATTTTAAGACATCCAGATCCATTTAGACACCTACATAGATTTTTTGCTTAAAATGATGTCTTATTCCTGTCTTTCTAAAAATAAAGAAACTGTATTAAATTCAAAAAGAAACAATTATTGATGATGAAGGAAAAAATGATATCAATGATTCCCTAACTTCTGATATTAGACATACACAAACTTCATGAGTAGAATATAACTAAATTATTACATCCATATTCAACAGGACTATGAAACAATTCATATCAAGATATAAACATGTTAGCATACAAGTAATTGTATATATGAAATATTACAAAGGCATTGGTCAAATGAACGTGATCAGAAGATGTTTATAATTACATGACAGCTAAAGACATGGTTCAACAGATGAACAGAAAATCAAGTGAAAATTACCTTTCCATTTTCATAAAACCATAGGCTTTTAACCTCTTTTAATCTTGAACAGTCTTGATGCCTAATGATTCCGGTAACAACAAAAAAAACCTACAAGGCATGCAGGTTATGCTATGGAAGTAGTACAGAAAATACCAATGACGTAACAAGGAGAGAAACATGTTGGAGTTGCCCTCAACCATGCTGTGATGTGAGTCATGGGACTCAGCTTACAGAGCGGCTGTGCATGTTTCCACTACATTGCAACAGATGAGGAAAAGTATATTGTAGCTGAGTAGCATGCAGGCCAATCAATCTCAAAAGTGATCATGTACGTATGATTTGTTTAGGTAACCTGTGTAAACATGCTGACACGTTGCTCTGCCTGGTTAAAAAGCACCAGATCTGCATTCTTGACTGATCCAGCTTGATTTTACTCCTGTGAGAAGTAAGAATGGTACGCAATGAAGTTAAAACACGGTACCTTTAGGTTGTTTGAGTTCTGGAAACAGCAGAAGTATGGATTCCTACTTGTTTAAAAATTACTTTTCCAAATATGTCACACAGTTGCTAAACATAACATTTACAGCTGTTCACTAAAGCTTTAAGCATATCCAGGCATACTAAAAGAGGTAAAATTAGCAGAATATTTGAAGCTCATAGATATATATTGGACTTGGGTCTGAATTAAAAAAAAAAACAACAACAAACAAACAAACAAAAAACCCCCACACACCCAGAAGCAAATAAAACAGGACGCCACCACTCAAACTCTCTCTACACCCTCAGAAAAACAAACAAAAAACCCGAACAAAAAAAACCCCAATAAACTAAAAAGACAGATACACACACACTGCATACATTACAGCTTTAAACATCTGCTAAATAGTAGTAATTAAACCTTAAAATAACAGAAAAATATTTTTCCTTGCATTTTCAAGGTTTTCCGTGGTCTTTCACTAGATGCTAAATATGTACCTAGTATATGCCTTCAGAAAGGAGCTGTAGGCAAAAAAACAACCCAAAATTGATCATACCAAGTCAAACACAAGTGCAGTCTGCTGTGGATTCCCAGCCCATGGCCAAGCAGCCAAAAACTCCCCCGTCACCTCACACAGAAGAGCAGGGGGCCAATAACACAGAAGAATGGACAGTTGCAACGACAAGGACCAGGAGGAGGAAGGGACTTCCCCCCAAGTCTGCAGTGTCCTTGCAGAACCTCTTCACCACTCTGCAGACTGAAGAGGACCAGACCCATCACACAGAGATGCTGGAGCTGCGTTAGCATCCCAATCTGTTCCCCCTGTAACAACCAGTGTAACTAAGAAAAGGCGACAGGTCATACTAGTAGATGACTCTGCAGAGAGGTATGGAGGTCCCCATTTGCCACCCTGATGCACTCTCTAGAGAGATGTGCTGCTTACTGGGGGCTCCTACCAGGGATGTCACCAAGAGACTAGCAAGTCTTGTACAGTCCATTAACTACTATCCACTGCTGTTGTTACACATGGGCACCAGTGATAAAGCCAGGAGTAACGTGAGGAGCATCAAGAAGTATTACAGAGCCCTGGGAGCAGCAGTAAGAGGCTCTGGAGCACAGGCAGTTTTTTTCTTCAGTACTCCTGGTCAAAAGGAAGGGGTTTGAAAGTGCCAGTCCAATCTGGCGAATCAACAAATGGTTACTGGTGCATGGACAGTGGGGTTGAGTGCGCCCGCAGCAAGTTTGCCAGGGACACCGAGCTGTGAGGTACAGTCAGCACACCGGAGGGAAGGGATGCCATCCAGAGGGACCGTGACAGGCTACTACTGCTATAAATCTAATCTCGCTTCTCACCAATGACTTCTTCAAGGTGCATCAAATAATGCAGCTAACATCTCCAATATAAACTGCTCCAATTTAAAGAAAGAAAGAGCTGAAATAACCTACAAAATGAAAGACAATTTCCTTAGTGACTATGAACTGGTCTACGTGAAATGTTTTTTTGCTGTTAATTTGCGTATCTCCTCTGGTTGTCTTTCAACTATGCCAATCCTTAGCCACTTCTCCAAATTCAAATGGGTTAATACTAGATAATTAATACTAGATAATAGTATCTTATGAATAACTAATGCTGATGTTTAGTCTTGAATATCAGAGGTGAGACTACATAGATCTTGCTACCCAATTCTTAAATATAAAATAAAGAAGAACTAGGTGTCTTCAATTGCTTGATAGCTTCCAAGTAAGAGTTAGATTTAACATAGTTATCACAGCAGGAGTAAACTAACTGGATTAATCAGATACTCCTTCCACTAAATCGAGTTTTATTAAAACACACTAAGAAGGCCAGTATCCTTTATTCAGATTAATAATATGTAAAAGATGTAGCAGCTGTTCAGCAGACATTACTTTACAAAGCGCAGTTAATACTTCAAAACAAGTTATAAATATTGTTTGCTTTGCTTTTAAATGGCCTCTTAGTAATGTAAAGTATTCTCAACAGAGAAGTCAACATAATATATGAAGTAACGGAACCTCCAAAAAGTAGATGGAGCAAATCCAATGTCAGGAAATGAGATGCTGAAATAACAAATGAGTGTATACTATTGAACACTGCACCCTATAATAAAAGAATCACCTAAATATTTACCTTATTACACCTTTCAAATTTGTTTCATTTCACTACACTTTGCTAGAACAAACATGTTTTCTAAAATATGGGCTAATTCATTGCCAGATCTAAACAAAACAACCAAAAACCTAAAAAGCCTACAGTCAATGAAAAAAAAACCAAAACCACACACCAAAGAAAACAAAACAGTCTGGACAAAGCAATTCAGGCTGCAGTACGGACGTCTGCACAAGCAGTGACACTCCATGTCCTTGTGTCTTCAGGTGCCAGTGGAGTTGATACCAGACACAGTCTGCACTGGAGCCACAGCACAGTAATTTGAATTTTCAAAGTGTCTCTCAGGATCC